TATGGTTTGTGTTTTATTTTCATATTTCACGGAAAATCGTATCCATATTTAAAAAGCATTTTTTCAATGTTTCCATTATTGAATATTAAATCCCAAATTCTGTCTTTGCGTGATTTACTCTTAATAAACTATAAATAAAGACAATTCCACAGGCTTTAGTTAAATATTATTTTCAATGTTCGGTGTAATTTTTGTCTTTCATTATTTCATTGAACTGTATCATTTAATAAAATAATTTGAAGGCCATTGACACTAATACTGATTCAAAGCTTGCTATCTGCTATAATGGGTAGGCGGTACTCCTATCCATTTATTTTAAATCCCGTAGGTTATATCTCATTATAGATGTTAATAGTTGCTAAGTTCCTATATGCGATAGTGATTAATCGAGTTATTTTACGCAACTATGTCTTTTTATTTTTCTTGAATCTAATAGCTAAAGTTCAAAAACATAAAGGACTCCAACGCGTCTTCATCTCATCTAAATGAAATTTCAACTCTTCTTGGCACCGTAGTTGTTCCAAATCGCCATGGAAATGAAATCTGCTTTTATTCAAGTCTTCTCATTAAGAAAATGATTGAGGCTCAGTATCATAGAACTGAGTTCGTCAAACTCCTTGTTAATGAAGGAGGCATCACTGTCAAAGATAAAATAATGTAATTACTGTTTTGAAAATGTGCTATATTTGAATATTATTATTTACAGCTTTTCATTTTGTTTTTTAGGATGTTCTACTCGATTACCACTTTGAGGATCTGACATATGTTCGGGTCCATCCAGATAAACCTCGCATTTTAGGAGTTATCTGTACTTTAAGAACACTCAATTCTCCAAACCCAATATCTAGATTCACCGCTTTCAGAATTTTGTCGAAGGTATATTGGTCTCAAAATATATTTTTTTAAATCTAACTTTTAAATGTCATTAAGAGCCTCGATCTTTTTTAGGCTAAAAAGTTTGCCTATCGCCTCCAGCAAATCTATTGCGACTACATGGACGGGCATCATTCGCATCAATTGTGAGTTCACTTATCTTTATGTTCGTTTTTTTTTAATGAAAGAACCTATTTCCACATTTTACTTGGTAACTATGACTTATTATTTAAAGTCAAGCTGTTCTTTATTTGCAGTGAATTTCTCCTACATCGCACAACACAGATGGCTTTTGTCTAAACGGAGAACAGTATAGTCATTCATCAAACGATAATAAGGTTGTGGCCTGATCGCTGACATCTTGTTTACCTTGCCAATTCGCTGCTATTTGTGCTCAAGCTGTTTACATTGCAGTTATGTGTTTGGGTTTCATGCAAATGCGAATATTTGGCTTTTATGATTTATATTTACATAATTTTGTTTAACTCGTTTGACCTTCCTCAGATAATGGATGACATACAAGTTCTAGAGGAGCCTAAGAGAAAATTTGCTGATACTGCGAGAATGGAAGTCTACCGAACTATACCGAGTAAGAGTTTTAAAGTTATACCTCAGTTTACTTCATTTTAACTGAAAGCTTTGAGAAACACTTTTCCATGCAGCCGATAGGAAAAGATACTAGGGTAGGGTTAATTACAAGCTAATATTTACCACATGTGTTACCATATGATTCATTATATTTGCCCAATCATGTATATTAAGTTGCTCAATTGCTTTCTTTACTCTGGTTGGTTACCAATTCCTTCCATGCCATTGGTTGAAAATTTCGCGTAGACAGAAAAATTTGCTATTCTTGTTGATGGAAAAGACCTTCACGTTGATTATTCTCTTTTTAAAACTCACAGTAATGCACTGATTTTCCATTGAGGAGATGTAACTGAAATCGGTTAACGGAACCGCAAAAGAAATGTTGGAGATGCGACTACGCTATCAGAGGGCATTATTTTACTTAATATCCTGCATTATTTTCGGATTCCTATATTCAAATTAAGTAATTTGCCCCACTTAATTACCAAGCAGATTCTCTTTGGCTATTTTTAGTGTTTATTGTCCGTTTCTCACCGATGGGAATTGTTTGCCACTTCATTTTATGCTTTTTTGGTTGCTTACACGATGCTCTGGCAATATTATAACTGTTTGATAACCTCTTTCAGTTTAATTCATTTATAACTTTTTTGAATAGTTCCATTTGCAAATAATGAGACTTATCTGAGCATTTTGGCTTCAAATACAAAACGCACTATCTGATAAACTACATTTTTTTATGCGGGGTATGCGATAGACTTACCCCCACGTGGTGCACCCTGGGCAACGTATACTCATACGGCAAAAAAGTCTATTAATCGGCAGTTGACTTCTGACTTCAAACTACCACGACACCCCTGGTTGTCATATTCAATCCCTTTCAAAGTACTCACCTTACCTTTTTCTCTACCTTTGTGTCTGTCTGCCTCTTTTACATCTGTGAANTAGCACTTTTAACCGGTAGAGTTGCCACTAAAAGAAAACCGGCTGCTTCTAGGCGTAGATTTGTAGCGGATTGCTACCTTAGTAAAGCCTGACTGACTCAGAAATCTCTATGGCGGATCCTAATACATCTAGCTAGACTCTCAGAACCAACTAAGCTATAGCCCAGCTATCAAGGAAACAGACGTGCAGCACGGAGCACGTTTATTCAGGACGTATATTGCAGATCAAGTGTGTACACGGAGGGAGCTACTCATGATCAGGATGGGGGATTAGGTTAAACAGAGGTTGATGATTGGTCACTGTTTGTACGGTCGCTGCACACAGAGTTGTACGGCCGCACCTCCCAATCCTGGCGAGCAGACATGCAGGCATACGATGACGCACACAGCGACAACGTGTTCCACAGATTCTTCCTTATGTGCAAATCAATTCCTATCCCATTTCAAAGTAATATTTCTTAGATTTTAGTGTTTACAGCACTCCCCCCCCCCAAGTTACCTTAATTTGCTCTACTTAATGGCGAAATAAAGGAATGGACACGGTAGCTAACTAATCGATAGATCAATATGTTCAGCTTGAAGCTAATGTCAACTGAACCAGGTCGATATTTTGTTCTAATTTAGGGTAAAATTTGCTATACTAAATAAACCAGTTAGTGACACCAGTTTGTCTGGAAAAATTTAAGGTATGAAATGGATAGGGTAATTTGTGCTTTTAATATTTTGTGCGACAGTGCCATGCCAAAGATTAATTCATCCCCCTATGATTTTGAACCACTCTTCTAGAAAGTTCCAACTTCGTTCCCTGTCAATAAGCAGCGAATTCAACTCTCATGAACATAATTTATATTCCGATAAGCATAATAAATATTAACCAGTTGCCCAATTTGAGCCAACCATCTCATAATATAACTGATTCCAGTTAGCACAGCATAAGAATAAACTTTCATTTATCCTAAAGCCAGCTTAAAAAATGTGATGAAACTGTTTTTGTACAAGAAAGCTGTAAACCATAGGACATCGTGATTGCTACCACTGTGGAATAAGAACAAAGCCCATAAAGTTGCACTTATCATACACAATATGAGAAGCTGTTCGAGATATAATTGTCAACAATAACGTGTTCATTGAGTCGGAATCAGACTTCGCGAAAAGTGACCGCTTCCTCCCATTGGCGGACACATTAATGCTCTTTTCTTTGTTAAGGACTGAAGGCAGTTCACTTCAGCATCATCTTTACCTAGGTCTGCTAGATCTAAGCGAACTCCCCATTAAGCATTACAGTAATAGGTACTTAGTCTTATCGCGATTGCGTTTCATTAACATGGAGTAAGTAAATGATGATAAAGGTATCAAAACAAAATTTTATTAATAGAAATTAAGTAATTCACTTCATTCACATTTTATTCGGGAAACGGGCACAGGGACGTATGGAATAAAATGATAAAATGCGAGTCATACGTGAGTTCAGAGAAATATGTATATATCCAGTAGGTTATTAGAATTAAGAGCACACAGGAATGGACTCAGTTGATTTTATCAGGTAGTTTTATGAGGAGTATACATATTTGCAATATCATAAAAAGCACAAGGTGTCAAACTATACATAGCTAGCTTGTGGTTTTGGGAAGGAGACAGCATAGTTCTCTGGAGTTCGGCCTGATATCGTTGGTGGAGGGGTTATACATATCTTCTTCCCCAAGTTACCCCCCAGAAAGTCGTCTGAACGACCACTGTTCGAGACCAAAGCTGAGGTTGGGTCGTCAATATCATTATCAAGTTCATTCTCCAAATTATCACACCCTACCAACATAGGCTCGGATTTGAAACGGCTCTGATTGTGATTCAAACCACTTGTGTAGGAGAGAAGGTCACAGCTACCCTGTTGTTGCTGATTTTTAGTTGAGGTTGCTAGGGTTTTGGATCTCGAGGGACGGCTCTGCTCCTGATGTGGTTGAAGACCTTCTGGATAACGAACCATGGTAGGAACTACTCCTGAATGGGATATTGGTACCTGAAATTAAAACCAATGTATCTTTATTGTTGGAAATATGCGAAAATTCCTTGAAATGTTAAAATTACGAACAATTACATATGGCGTACTTGTTATTTTCTTTACATAACAGGGAATATGGTTCCTACCACCCAAGTTGTTCTAAAACGATCTTCGTCGTTCTAAACAGAAATACTGATTCACGTTCATGCAAACCCGTTTCAAAAAATGTTACGACACCGTTTCTTTTAGAAATACGCTTCAAAAGGACACGAATGGTGAACATAAACGGTTGAAATGAAAATGAGCTGAGATTTTGGAATATTCATCCATTTACTGAAACCAAATTAATTGCCAGAAAAAGAGGATCCTTATTTTACACTTTAAATGAGACATCATGCAAGGATCTTATTTTTTCTCTAAGCCAATTATGGCAAACTTTAGACAGAGAAAAGGACGTTTTCCCAGAAGTGCAATAAATATCATAGAATTTCTGGGTAATTCGAATCTTAATCAGAAAGAAAGCTAACCTAACCTTTCCCTCATCAAGGGAAGGTTAATGCTGGGTTTACGTGCGCGAAGAATCGTAACAGAATGAAAGGCTAGTGCAATGGAAAACTCGCAACAAAGTTTGAACGGAAGAATTTCACCTGTGGATTGACATTAAAAGTCCTCTATAGGTGGTACACTCTAAGAGTTCGGTTGAAGTCAACAGGTCCAAATGCAGACAAGGCTCACAGACAAGGTCGTGGCTAAGTCAATCAAAACACCAATAACTCATTGTTTGGACATGGGATGTGCGATAGACTCACCTCCACGTGGTGCACCTTGGGCAACGTATACTCATACGGCAAAAAAGTCTGTTAAACGGCAGTTGACTTTTGACTTCAAAATACCATCACCCCACTGTATGTCATATTCGACTACTTTCACAGTACTCACCTCACCTCTTTTCTGCCTTTGTGTCTGTCTCTTTTACATCTTTGAAACACTCTTCTGTTCCTCCCCCACCCTCTCGACTTTTTTCTCTTTGATGTTTCTTCCTCTCTGTGGAGCCTGAAGTCAACTAAAGGGCTAACGATAACTATCAAAACGCCTGCCATTTGATATAAATAAATAAATTGTTTGGACATTAAATAAGAGCAGAAAACGAAGACGTGNTTTTACTTAATATCCTGCATTATTTTCGGATTCCTATATTCAAATTAAGTAATTTGCCCCACTTAATTACCAAGCAGATTCTCTTTGGCTATTTTTAGTGTTTATTGTCCGTTTCTCACCGATGGGAATTGTTTGCCACTTCATTTTATGCTTTTTTGGTTGCTTACACGATGCTCTGGCAATATTATAACTGTTTGATAACCTCTTTCAGTTTAATTCATTTATAACTTTTTTGAATAGTTCCATTTGCAAATAATGAGACTTATCTGAGCATTTTGGCTTCAAATACAAAACGCACTATCTGATAAACTACATTTTTTTATGCGGGGTATGCGATAGACTTACCCCCACGTGGTGCACCCTGGGCAACGTATACTCATACGGCAAAAAAGTCTATTAATCGGCAGTTGACTTCTGACTTCAAACTACCACGACACCCCTGGTTGTCATATTCAATCCCTTTCAAAGTACTCACCTTACCTTTTTCTCTACCTTTGTGTCTGTCTGCCTCTTTTACATCTGTGAATCGCTCTTCTGTTCCCCACCCCTCGACTTTCTGCTACTTTGATGAACTTTCCCTCTGTGAAGCCCGAATTTAGCTAAATGGCTAATGATATCTATCTCATTTGCAAATAATGAGATTTATCTGAGCATTTTGGCTTCAAATACAAAACGCACTATCTGATAAATTACATTTTTTATGCTTCCTGAATATAGCCTCCCTTAATTTTGCCACAGTAACTGTTGAAAGTAACTTTCAAATTATTGGATACGAGTTGAGGATGTAGATGAGAAAAACCAAATCATTTTACTTCGACGACATCCGGCTTTTGGCGTCTCTTGCGTCAATTCAAGGATTGTTCTATAGTCTACCACCCTGGAATATTCTTAAATCAAGCTTTGACTAATTTGGTTGGCACTGCCAACAGTGCAATAATGGAGGAAGTTCAAATGTGCGGCTCCCGACGCCATCTTGAAATTTATCATTACTTGTTCTATTTGAAACAAAGCCTATTATTATGAAATAGTTTATTTCAGTATTTTTAGTTTACATTTAAGTCAGCCTTAAATCAACCGTCTAAATCCTAGAGCCAATATCAATTAAATGTTTTTTTATTTGTTTGTGTGTAATATGTGATATGGTTAAGACTTAGAGCCGAAGTAGTCCTCATTATTTTTGAAACATTCATTTGATCTTATGAAATTTTTTTTCTCATTATCTTTCATAGCTAGACTTATTTCTTGATTAAAACGATAGGGATTTAGAATGTACTGCGGCGCAGAGTAAAGCGGTTTTTTATCAAGTTTTCGAAGTGGCAAAGCAGCAGAGTTCTAGTGACAGCCCATTTCAAAAGAAAATGGTAAGATGAGGAAGAGAGTTCTCCTTCATCTGACTTCTGAATTTGCTCAGGAGTTGCTCTTCAATCTTTTGATTTTCAGATTTCTATCCTTTTGATTCTCCTGTATCATTACGCTTTGTTCACGATTCGACTGGTTGCTAATTTTTGATGTTTAGTTTTATCCTTTCAAATGCTAGAGAAATAGGAATATCATTAGTTTATAGATTCTAATATATCTTTACAACAAATAAACGGATAGACGAGATTGGCAGGTGTGTTTTAAACAATCAATATTCTTGTTGATCGTACTTGATTGATGGGGGTGATCTCTTGTTGAGTCTCTACGCTGATAAGTTTCAATAAGTGAGGATTATTGCTCTCTCTACGGATTTACACTCTACAATGGGGGTGGGCGATTGACTTACATTCACGTGGTGCACCCTAGCCAATGTATACTCATACGGCAAAAAAGTCTATTAACCGGCAGTTGATTTCTCACTTCAAACTACCATCACCCCACTATATGTCATATTCGACTAATTTCACAGTACTCACCTCACCTTTTTTCTACCTTTGTGTCTGTCTCTTTTACATCTTTGAAACACTCTTCTGTTCCCCCCCCCTCTCGACATTTTTTTCAATTTGATATACCTCATCCTATCTGTGAAGCCTGAAGCTGACTAAAGGGCTAGTGATAACTATCAAAACGCCTACCATTCGATATAAATAAATATTCTCCAATGCAAGGTAAGATGAGTGTGTCGAGTTGGGCATCGAAGTTGAAGGTGAGCACTTCCAACAATTGACTGCTCAGTGTGCGGTTATTTTCACAAGTTTCTGGGTTTTCCTTTATTATTATTCAGGCCATCCGGTGGTTTCCTTTCCAAAGACGGCCATTTTACCTGCCTTTTTGCGTTTGCTTATATATATATCTGGTGTTCATAATGCATTGACCACTGGGTTAATCTGAATGTTTGGGTAATTAATTTTAAGTTCTTATCTTCTTCTAATGATCAAGATAGCACAATATCGAAAACTAAACGTGTTTTCACTAGAGTTTGTTAAAATAGATGCACTATTCCTTGTCTTCTTCCAGTCGCAGTTGAAAGAACTGCCACTCCCAAGTCCTCACGACTGATTCACGAGTAATTCTCTCTATAATGACATTTCTCAAAAGTACCACATTTTGTGGTGAATGTTTGTTTTAATCGCTATATTACCTTGGAAACATTATTAAATTTCAGGAACTCAATATCCAGAATTGTGGGGTGCGCGATAGACTTGCCTCCACGTGGTGGACCCTGAACAACGTATCTTCGTACAGCAAAAAAGTCTATCACCCGGCATTTTGACTTCTATTTATTACGATTAGCTTGCAAAAAGGCTATAAGAAAAATCGCCCTCGTCAGGGCGAATCACAACGTCTTCAGATCCTCCAGTGGAATGCTGGAGGAATGGCACTGGAGAAAAAGATCCGAGTACAGAAAATCCAACAAACCTATGATGTAGACATTTTCACAACTATGGAAGTAAACATTTCGGATGATAGATTGAAGTACTATCAATTCCCAGGTTACACCCTGTACAATCT